GTGAATGCAGCTTACCCTTTCTTGTATTTTTCTAAGAAAAGCCACAACCGCAGTTTCTATGTCCTAACATGTATGGGTCCATGGAGAAATAGATGCTGGTTTACCCTGTTAGGTCTTCCAGGAAAGAAAAGGGCAACATTAGAACAGAACTTGGTTGTAAATAATTGTGAGACAGACAACACTTTGGTTCACCCAACATATATAGAGAAGCTTATGTCAGCAGAGTTGAGGTTCCATTAAGGTCACATACAAAGATTCCACAAGGAATTCTGGATTCTGCAAAGAAAATGCTGTTGGGTGAATCATGAGCCTCTAGATACTGCTGGATTTTGACTATTATCAGGCCTAGAAAATTGGTCATAGGTTACGGAGCAGTCATCTAAGATCTAGATCTCAATACATTTCTCATCATTGATTTTGACCTGCATTATGGACTAGATTATGGCTTATAAATAAGATGCATAACAGAAAGAGAAACCATCATATGATTACCATTATCACTGGTCCAGATCACTATCACTACTGGTCATTATCATTAATCACAATTATCTTCCGTTCCAAACAAGTACAATTTTGTTCAGATCAATACTGGAACAATTCACATGCATGTGTCCCTTCAATGTGTGTTATTTACATTTTGACCACACAGTCAAGTACAAGCACTCCTCGGTTAGCGACTACCTCATTTAGCAACCATTTTAAAAATTCGTTTTCTGACCTATACACAGGATTTATGATAACATTTGATGGGCTGATAACAAAAGTCTTCCGTATGAGACTGATCAAGGTCTGAACAGTTTCAGGCAGTATCCCAAGTGAGTGGGAGTAGTCTAATCGAGTAATTAAAGTTACAGAGCTCAGTTTGTGAACTTGCTATTAGCACTTTTTAGGGATGTACTGCATTGGGGAGAAAAGCAGCTTAGAAGCGATAACTTGTTTGAGCAATCTCTCTGCCCTGCCAGGAGACAAAAAAAGAGAAATATCATCTTTCTTAATCTCTGCCCATCCTACTAGATCGGATAGGATAGAAAAGCTCCACAGGGACACAATGACAATTCACCACCACCAACTCACCATGGCCAAATTGCCACGGCCAGCTTGCTGCAGGACAACTCATTGCAGGACAAGTCACTGCGGGACAGGAGTTACACTAATATCAAAGAAATGGTGGAATAGAATCATTAAAGAAAGGATGCAAAAGGAGGGACAGAATGAAATGTGAATGGCAAGAATTAAAATAATTTTTATTTACTTTAAATAATTAAATTGAATTGTTAAATTGTCCCGCAATGAGTTGGGCCTGCCAAGTTGGCCATGGCAACTTATCCAGCGGCAACTTGGCCGTGGTGAGTTGGCTGCACCAAGTTGGCTGTGGCAAGTTGTCCCATTCCCAGCTCCAGCTCCCTTCCCTGAAATGTTGACCTCTAACGGAACATTGGAAGGGTGCCTTTTCATGGCAGCTCCAATCTTATAAAACACCCACCCTCCACCAATCCAGCAAGTCCACAACTTATTAATTTTCCAGTAGGCAATTAAGACTTGGCTTTTTTCCCTGATAGTTGGGCAAAATGAAGGTTTCTTGAGGTTGGCTGTTGGAGCATCTCAAAGGAATGACTAAAGAGCCATGGATGTGTTTTACAATTGTAAGGTTTATTGCTTGAAGTTCGGGGGTTTTTTATTGTTGTGGACAGCTATCACATTTTTCTTTCAGTGTTATGGTTTTATGGCTTTTATAGTTCAGGAGTTTTATTATTGTAGAGGAGCCACCACCGTTGTGTTTTAAGAGAGGTGGCCGTACAAATCTTTTAAATAAATGAATGAATACAAATTTTGCTTCAGCTTTTGCATCTTGAATTGCATTTTGCCAACTGACGCTATCATACAATGGCTACCGGGCAGTGGTGAAATTCAATTTTTTTTACTACTGGTTCTGTGGGCATGGCTTGGTGGGCATGGTGTGGCTTGGTGGGCATGGTGTGGCTTGGTGGGCATGGCAGGGGAAGGATACTGCAAAATCCCCATTCCCACCCCACTCTGGGACCAGCCAGAGGTGGTATTTGCTGGTTCTTCGAACTACTCAAAATTTCTGCTACTGGTTCTCCAGAACCTGCTGCATTTCACCCCTGCTACCGGGGTAGTTGGTCACAAAATTATTATAGTGGTAACCCTGTTACCTCCCCTTCTACTTCTCAGCGTGGTTTTTTAAAAAATCATTTTGGAGTCTTACCACCACCTGGTCAGGTGGGCATTCTTCCATCCAAGTAGTAGGCTGCTGCTACCCACCTTTTTATCTTCTAAGAATCTTCCTGAATTGATATGGTAGGATACTGGAAATACAAATTAGGCTTAATTTTTTTTAATGTAAAGAATTTTGTTAAAAAAATTAAAAAACCACCGTGTCAGGCAGGAAAGGAAGTTTAGCTGATTGATTATGCGCCATCAAGTAATTTTTGACTCTACCAGCCATATAAGTAGATTTTTCTCCCTGGCAATCTGTCCCTAACCTGGTCTTTCAGGTCTTCTAATGGTGCAGTCATTGCCACTGTAACTGAATCCATCCACCTTGCTGTTGGTCAATTACTTCTTCTCTTTCCTTCCATCTTTCCCAGAGAGCTAGCTCTTTGCATAACATGTCCAAAGTAGAATAATCTGAACCTGCATAGAATATACATAGAAAAACCTTGGGACTTGGGAAAGTAAGTTTTTTTTAATTAAAATTGTCCACTCTATTTTATATTGTAGTATTTCCATTGTGCCATGACACTTTTTTTATTTTTCTGCAGAAGGTTAACACATCCACCCCTGTGAGAACAGTGAAACCGTTTGCTTCTGTTAACTGTTTCCTAGCTTTCTACACAACAAGCAGGAGAGAGGCAGGACCCTATTTCCTTTAATTTAACTTCCTGCTGGTTTTGTTGTTATTAAATAAAATTCAAGGCTGAACTGACTTGACACCCTCTTAGTGAGGTATTTGAAAATGATCTTTTAAAGTCCCTTGGGCAATAAAAAAAAGAACTTGACTCCTCCTTGGGACATTGAAAAGTTCTGAGATATTTTTCCATTCCAAAGTGTTCGCCCTTAGTTCCACCTACCACAAAACAGCTGCTGAAACCACAAGGGAGGACACAGGCAGACAGCTGTCATATTATGAATCAGACATGAGCTAGGAGCAAGGAAATGAAATTTACCCCTTTGTCTCAAGGACAATGCTATTTTTCAAACCTTTTGTATTTAAATAATTCCCTATAGGGAATACTAAGCTATATATACATCAGTGGTGGGTTGCCCCTGGTTCGGTCCAGTTCTTGCAAACCGGTAGTAGAACCGGGGGCCAGCTCCGCCCACCCACCCGGATGTCGTCATAGACGATCTGCGCATGCACGCGCGATCCCATTGCAAACCGGTAGTAAAGGTAAGTACTGATATACATGGATGCTGGAAGAAAAGCATTACCATTACCAAATGAATGGAAGTTAACCTAATTCTTTGTACACCCAGCACACTTTTGTACATCCAACATCAAGAGGGATTGAGATGGGCAACTTCTTACCCACCTGAAAGTCACATTTCTATTGTTTTTCCCAGCATGGAAATGTATATGATGCAATATTAGGTGTAACCGTTATACAAAATTAAAATTAGAAACTGAGGAGTAGAATTCATTAGTCTGGAGGTACACTGAACAAATACGAAAATCTGCAGTTCATTCTTAATGAATTAAATTGGCTCCCAAGAAGTGAGCTGGAATTCTTAAGTCCCAGAATCTCCAATCTACAGTGCATTGAACTATATCCAGTTCCTATTTATACTCAATTATTCCTGCCAAACTGAGTGTCAACATATGGTGCATTAACAGCTGGATCAATTATTAATATATTCTTTAACAGAATCAGATTTGGTCTCAAAAATATTTCCTGGAGAAAAAAAATGCAAGCTTTAAGTTCGAACTGCATAAAAATTCAGAAAATGCTTGAAAGGATTGGCTGCAGTTGCTTTGATCATGAGATTTAGGAAGTAGAACATTCAGACCTATATCTTGATCTTCTGCTATTGTCCCATTTGAGGTTGACGTAAAAAGGTTTGTTAAGATGACTTTGGATCAACTACTGAATGTTACGAATGTGTAAATTTCTTGGCTATATCCATGATATTTTAAATCTATCAAAACATCAAACTGAATATTTCAGAGCTGGCTAAAAATTATCATTTAACATTGAAAGGAAAAATGTATACCTGGCTGATTTGCACCAATATACTTTTATGTGGTGTGTGTCCACATTTGAAGTTTTTTTTTTTTTTTTTTCAAATGGGCAAGGAAGAAGTCTTGATCAAGAGGGTCCTTTTTTAGGAGTTTCTCAGGTCTATTTTCCCTTTTACTTTTTTATCAGGTTTATTAATTTTGAGGTAACATATTTTTAATACTTTTATCTTTAATTTTTATTTTATTAATTAATTCAATATAACCATTTATAAGCTCTACCCATGGCAAAATTATTGTTTCATCCTATTTGCAAGACTTCTATATCACATGCCCTCGTTCAAGCAAAGGTAGTATAGAAGATTATCAATGTGGTTTTTTCAGTGTGTACCGCTGTTCATTTTATTAGCAATTAGAATTTTCTGATTCTTAGTTTTCCCAAACATTTCTCATTAATAACTGCTGAGTTGTAATAGCTAGAAACCCTAAAGAAATTCTCTTGCAATCAATTCACCTGTCCAAAAGCAAAATTGTATGGAGCAGCTTGCCACATACAAAAGTGTTAAAAGATATCTGAATATTTGAAAGCAGGTGAAAATTAGACATTTGCTTTGGCAATTGGACAATTGCACATTTACAATGAAAGACTTTGGACTTTCCTTTAAGGGAGGCAGAAAATGAGTCAGCCACACAAAAAAAACCAGGGATCAGTTTTAATTGTGAGCAGTCCTATGACTACTTTAATTGGAGAAGACATTCTGACCTCACAGATGAAAACACTATTTAAGTTCTGCCAACCAGATGTTCCACTAGCAACTAGGCAGCTGCGAGCAGTGGTTTTCCAGGCTGCTTGAACAGAAGGTACAGAATATTAAACCGAAAAGATGATTGCCTTAACTTTTCTTTTTGCCTTATTATGGGATAGAGGTTTTAGCTGGGGATTCAAGGATGGCGTTCTTCACAATTCTATTTGGTTAGGTAAGTTGATTTTTATTTTGTTTGTGCTTCTATTAATAAATGTTTAACTGCAGAAAGAGCTATTTCTATATCAGTCCCTGCATTTTGTGTAGCTTGCATTAAAGGTACAAATCTTTACTGAATAATAGCACCATTCTTTATTTTCCATTTTAAAAGATGTTTGTGCAGAGATCTGATTTAAAGAAAAGGAATGCCTCTGAAACATGAGCTGTGAAAGCGATGCGATCTGAAAGCTTGAGCTATACAGAAAGCTAGACCTCTAGAGATGTGTATGGGGAGAGAAGAGACTTAAAGAGAAACAGCTGTGCAAGATACAGATCAGCCTTTCCTTTCCACGTAAATAATTCCTGGAAATATTGCCTAAAACTATAGTTTCCAGGTAGTTACATGTCCTTCCCTGTACTGCATTTGTCTCCATTGATTAATTTAGATTTCCTAACATTAATTTAGATTTCCTAACATGGCAACTCTCAGATGAGTTTGTTGACAGTTTCCAATAATGCCCAACTAGCATGGCTCAAACAGTTGTACGGTAGTTGATGGACACTGTAGTCTACCCCATGTGAATGGCACTAGATGTGGAAGGCAGTACTATTTCTTCTGCTGCAACTCTTCTCTTTCCTACCTCTTGGGTCATACTGTTCTACTCGTATTTTAATATTCTGGAGCCATCTCTGCTTCAGAGAAACAGAGCTTTGCTTATCCTGGTACAGAACTGCAGAAGGATCAGAATACGGGTGGCCCTCCACATCTTACTACACTTCTCAGCATTTTTCATCCTATAGCATGTTGGCTGAAGTTGCTGAAAGCTGAAGTTCTCTAAGGCCTAGATGTTCTCCCTCAATCAACTTTTGGATACAGTCAGATGTTATGGATTGGGGGGGGGGGGAATTATATGGCCCAAAAGGTATTTCATTCTCTCCTAAGCTTTTGTACAGATACCAGACTTCTAAAACTTGAAAGCCACCTGTGAATAACAAAACAACCTTCCAGTAGGTAAATGAGGAAAAGAACAAAGCAGCATGAACATCTAAAATTCTGGGGGTGATAGGGTGGATTACATCTTAAACCACCCACAGTTATTGGAGCTGCATAGCCTAGATATTTAAATCTAAAATACAACCTCATCATACTGTATGCCCCAAAGCTGCCAGCTGATTTCTTTTCCACTACAGGCAGCCCTTACCCCCACAAAATAGAAAAACGTACTCCTTAACCAGAAAAACATCGTCTGTCCCACAACATAAAGATAGTCACATCAAGTATTCCTCCTGTCAAGCTCAACACTCTGTGATTTTAGCAGTAGCATAAAAATGGTTGGCTACTGCCAGCCTCCAGGATATATTTGCAATCTAATATACAGCCTTGGGATTTTTCTGGGAGTGTCGTATCCAATATTAACTAGGCCACTCACCTTGTTTAGGTTTTTTGAGATTAAGCCTAAATGTGGTTTGTTTGGTTTGGGTTTAGCCTGGTGTTGTAAACACAGTACTTGTGATTTGTAAACTACAGATGATGGACTCAGAGATTGATTCTGTGGTCAGCAGAGAGGACATGTGATAACAAACTGGGGGAGGGAATCTTAGCATATTGTGAAGTGCAACTTTTCTTGGTTTCCTGGTTTAGCGTATTGTGTATATGCGTATTGTATAGCGAAACAATAGCGTGTCGTGGGAAACTTTTCCTGGTTCAGACATTGTTCTTTCCAATTTTTTTTTAAAAAGATTCTGGCAGTGTAAGCAAACAGAGGGTAGGAAACCTTTTTATTTATTCATCTTACTGAAATATAATTGCCCATTCACTGGAGTGGCACCACTAGTTCAAACCCCGGTTAAAACTCCTCTTTCCAATTCCTCATTCACAACATAAGATGGAGAAATACTGGAAATGTTGTTGTTTTCTGCTGGGGGGGGGGTGGAACAGATATTAGCCTGAGGAAACCCTCCAGAAGCATATTTTAGGTAGCTCTTGCTAATCAGAATAGTGCTGGGTTTGATGGAGGAACCGTATATCATTAAAAAGCAGTTTTGTATGTGTTCCAAATAATTTTATCCAAGGGCCTGGTTATCACATTATGTTATTTCGGAATGAGTTTGGCTTGGTTTCAGTTTAGTGTCTTCTGTGAAGTCAGCCACTGTGATTCATAAACCGCAGCTTATAGATTAATGAATGGGGAGAAATCTGCAACTCTTCCAGGCCCATGTTGCTGGCCCAGAGCCCTTCTGGACTGACCTGCTAAAATTCATCATAGCTGTTTGTTTTGAGCAGAATATCCTGGGCCAAAGCAAGACGCATGATAGGTACACTGAGCTTCCACGAGATAACTTAATGTTGCCTTTAAACCACTCCCTTGCTGGTTCAGAATGGAAGCATTATTTCAGAAGTTATTTGAATGATAGTGGACAACGTTCAGCCATCATGACGTCTCGCTAAGTTGAATATGCTGCGTTCAACACAGAATATCAATGCCCACTGTTGCAGAGGGAAGCAGAAAAAGATATTTCTTGGAGATGGTGTGGGGTTTTTGGGGGGCGGGGAGGGCAAAGAGTGGGTTGAAGGATCAGTTTGGCTTGGTGCTTAGTTTCTTTCTACTTATAAGGATAGAGAGAAAGACATGGTAATAGTTCAGTGAAACACATGTAGGCCTGAAAGCTTTTGCATTGGGCCTTCAGGCCTGCCACATTTACTGTTGTGGGAAACTGGGAGGGGGGATTGTATAGAGCATGGGTGATATGTAGTCATAATAACATTCCTTTCTCAGAGAGTCAAGGACATCTTGCCCTGCACCTGGAAGGGTGTGACTGGGAGGCATCTCCAGTTGGCACAGTGCTTTGATTAGAACATGTGATGGACATGTGGGACTTGGACTTTTTTTTGGGTGGGGAAAACCTGGAAGCTTTCAGATTTGGGTTTTCCCAGATGTGCCAATATGACATCTCTAATAAAATGGAACTTTGAGGAACTTCAAGCCTTGGAGTCTTCTTTCGTTGGGGGTGTTTCTTGGAACTCGACACATGCAAGTTCACGTCTTTTTAAATATTAATTCATCTTGTGAAAGGTTCAGTAATCTTGTCTGAAGATGAGGCTTGGGTTTCATAGACATTATCCGTCCCCCCGTCTTACAAAGAAGAATACATTTTTTAATTCCATTTAGCAGATACCTTGTTGTCTTGAGTGTTATTCAATGCATGGCATTATAAATACAAAAAAAAAAGTATGTACTTATTTTGCATATGACAACATTTACATATGCATGTTACCCATACCCCATTTATACTTGCTGTTGAAAATAATTCTTGGCGTGATATGGGTCATGCCTAGAACTCATCCCGAACTTCATAATCCTTGTGTCTTGACAGAATGCTCTGGTCACGTGCTCTTCCTTGTTTTTTCCGTCTACTCTTTTTCTAATTTTATTTTTAATACTGTTATCACTTGCTGTGGAAACTTTCTTTTTAAATAGAAAAAGAAGTCATAAATGTCTAAATAAGCTGTAACTTCCAAAAGTGAGACAGCTTCCATCCCATATCCACGTACAACATTGTAGGCCTCTCTATAAAGAGAGGAAATGGAATCCTTCAGTAATTCTCTCACATGTGAGGGCAAACACCAGAATAACCACTTTTCATTAAAACAATTTAAATGCAGATTTGAGCACTTGGAAAGGAAAACATTAAGTAATATCATTATTTATTACATTCACATCTTCCTTCCTTCAAGGCTTGAGGCAATTGCCCCTTCTACCTCAAGCCAAAAGATAATTCCCCCCCCCCCAACACTGATTATGTTCATATGACACACAACCCAAAAAACTCTGATTAAATGAGCATGCATTTTGTCCTCTCTGGAATGCATGCTTTTTAACCATCATACTCCAATATGTCATTTAAACTGGGGGTCTTAGACTTTGCAGCAGTAGTGGGTTTCAATTTCGGCCACTACCGGTTCGCTCGTGGGTGCGCACTTGCTCGCATGCGCAACGCTTCTGCGCATGCACAGAGACATCCAGGTGGATGGGCAGAGCCTCCCGCTGCCACCACTACAGTTTGCCCAATCCGGGGCAAATTGGTAGCAACCCACCACTGACTTGCAGCCTGCATGCTGTACCCAGACTTCCAAGCTTTTCTCTGCAGTCTCTATCAGTATTTGGGAAAAGATAAACCGTGCTTACATCTTCAAGTTGGCAAGAACTACCCCAAAACAAGAGAAGAAAGAGTACTAGACTGATCGGCTGACAAAGATAAGGAGGGAGAGAAAAGAGAAAAGGAGGGTGCTTCTAATAGCTTAGGAGGATTTAGGTAGTCCTCAATTTATAACAATTTGTTTAGTGACTGTCTGAAGCTACAAAAGCCCTGAAAAAAGTGACTTATGACTGTTTTTCAAACTTATGACCCTGTGGTCATGTGATCAAAATTCAGGCACTTGATAACTTATTATTTATTTACTGTATGGTAAAAACATGACAGAAGAAAAGTAAGCATACACACACAATCCATGTAATTATATACAACTTCTATGGAGGTATGGCAGTGGCCTCATAACTGGATGTCCAAATCAGTTATCCAGCTGATTTCCTCTGGCATTGCTTCGTGCAGTTCTTCTAGGGAACCAGGGGACTCACGTCATGGGCAATCTTGCATGGTATGTTTAATAGTTTGCATATCAGCCTCACAATTGCAAGAAGGGGACGTTTTCTATCCCCACTGATCCAGGACAGAGGCACTTCTTCCAGTATCACACCTAATTCTGTTCTATTTCAACCAGACAGAGCAAGGCAGGTCAAAACCAGGTGGATTGGTAGAGGGATCACTGATGATCAGGCAACAAGAAGGTATCCTGGACCATTCCTCTCTCCAAGCATTGACAACTGACTCATATTTATGAAGGTTGAAATGTCCCGGGATCATGTGATCCCCTTTTGTGACCTTCTGACAAGCAAAATTAATTGGGTAGCCCAGAGGTGGGTTTCAGCAGGTTCTGACCAGTTCTGGAGAACCAGT